CCCCCAGAGCCCCAGAGACCCTCCCACCCTGCCCCCGGGGCCTGTGGCCTCTGTCCCTTTCATCCCAGCGGTGCCCTCAGAGCTTCCTGGGCTGGACACTTCCTGGGACGACACCCACGGCAACCGATGCTCTCGACCGTGCTGGCCTACGGGAGGGCAGGGCCAAGGCGGTCCATTGAGGCCTTGGTTGTGACAGCGGCCTGTCTCTCAGGCCTCGGGCTTCTCGCTTCTTCCTTCTGTGCACTGTCTGTGGGAGGTCCTCCGGGACAGGGCTGTGTCTCTCCCAGGCCCTTGCAACTGCAGGCAGACCTACATACACCCCCAACTCCCTGTGTCTCTCTGGCTGTTTCTGTCTGTCTCTCCCTCTCTGTTTCTCTCCCCCCCTTTCTCTCGCTCTCTCTCTCTTGCTGTCTCTCTCTCTTGCTTTCTGAGTCTCTTCTTTCTCTCTCTCTCCCTCTCATTCCTTTTCTCATTCTATCTTTCTGAGTCTCCTTTTCTCTCTCTCTCTCTCTCTCTGTCTTTCTGAGTCTCCTGTTTATCTCTCTCTCCTTCTCTGTCTGTCTCCTTCTCTCTCTGACTCTCTCCTCTTTGTCCCTACCCTCTCTATTTCTCACCACCCTCACTCTGTCTCCCTGTCTCCCTGTCTCTCTCTCCCTCTCTCTCTGTCTCTGCCTCTGTCTTTCTTTCTTTCTTTTTTTTTTCTGAGCTGGAGTCTCATTCTGTCGCCCAGACTGGAGTGCAGTGGCCGCTCCCGGCCACCGCAGCCTCGACCTGCTGGGCTCCGGAGATCCTTCCGCCTCAGCCTTCCAAGCAGCCTGAACTACAGGTGCACGCTACCATGCCCGGCCAATCAGTTGATTTATTGTAGAGATGAGGTCTCGCCAAGTTGTCCAGGCTGTTCTCAAACCCATGGACTCAGGCAGTCCTCTCACCTCGGCCTCCCAAAGTGCTGGGATTACAGGCTTGAACCACCGTGCCCGGCCCAGAGTTCGATTTTCAACGAACTCTCTTAAAAACCTTCGACGGCTTCCCACAGCTCAGCATAAAGTCTAAACTCTTTTTGGATACAAAATCCTCCATAAAACAAGGACTCCCAGTATAACTTTCCGGCTTTATTGCCTGCTATTTCTGCCCCACTACAGATGCTAAGGTCTCATTTCCCCATGCACCTGACTTCACTAAGTACACCTTACTTTCCCATGACTTCCTGCCCTCTCCCCTGTGCACTGAACTATGGTTGCCCTTTAAGATCCACGGAGGTGTCCCCTCCTTGGTGAGGTCATTCCTCCCTCAACAGCGAAGCCAGGGGAGGCACCAGCCCTGGCACCCCAACACACACACACACACACACACACACACACACACACACACACACACCCCGCAGCACGTCCCATGCTGCAAGCTCTGGGCTCAGCCTGTCCCACCTCAGGACCTATGCACCGGCTGCTCCCTTTCCTGGGATGCTCTTCTTCACAGTTGGCAGGGCTGGTGCCTCCTCATCCTGCTGTTCTGGGTTTACACGTGATCTCCCAGGGGAGTCCTGCTGGAGGGGGGTGCCCCACCCCCACCCCTCTGTTCCCTGAAGTGTGAGCTGGGCTCTCTCTCTCCATTTACAGAGAGAATGTAGCTCTCTATTTGGCACTGACAGACCTGTTCATCCATCTGTTCTTCGGAGGAAAGGAACTTTTTCTACTTTATCATTTGGTAATTAACACCCAGCAGTGCCTGGCACACGGGAGCTGCTTGACATGTGTTTCCCGAATAAGTGAATGGTGAATGAATGCACTGTCACTGGACAGGGCATTCCTCAAGCAGCTGTCTCCTTGCCCTGCCCCACCCTCCCAAATCGATATTTAAATACGGCCTGTGGACTTTCAGCAAATATCCATTGTATTAGTAAACAAGTGACAGAGAGACAGATGTCTCTCAGAGAGAGTGAGCAACAGAGAAAGAAAGTCAGAGGCCGGGCTCGGTGGCTCAGCCTGTAATCCCAGCGCTCCAGAAGGCTGAGGTGAATGGATTGTCTGAGCCCATGGGTTCAAGACCCACCCGGGCAACTTGGCGGAACCTCATCTCTACAATAAATCAAAAAATCAGCCATGTGTGGTAGCGCATGCCTGTAGTTCCAGCTACTTGGAAGGCTGAGGCAGAAGGATCGCCGGAGCCCAGCAGGTCG